TTTGTTTTAGTTATTTTATTTGTGTTTTTTAAGTTTCTAGGATTATTTAAATGTCATGTGTGTGGTTTTCGTTTTTTTTTTTTTTTGGTAATGCAATTTTCAAGTAATGAAAAATTATGTTTTTTTATTAAAACAGAAGTTTTATTAAATTAAAATAGTTAAAAAAAAGTTTTATTAAATTAAAATAGTTTAAATAAAAACAAAAAAAATAAAAATAAAAGTGTGACACCACTCCCTTGGTGTGGCAAGAAACCACACTTGGTAAAAAATGACATGACCACTTATGTGACGGGGAAGGGAGTGCAGTTTTGACATCAGTCCCTCCGGCCTAAAGGGAAAAAAAACCATCTGCTCCTCCTCGATAATTCCTCCACCGCCTCTACCTACATGCTCTATCTTCCACCGACAAAGGACTGGCTACGTGTTCTCTTCTCAGACAACCCACAACCCACTGACACTTCTCTTCATCCTTCGCACCGCCTAATATACCCAATTCAGTTCCTTTTATTCACCATCTTAGGTCGCTATTGCTTCCATAACTCTTTCTACAACCTTCCTACTCCAAACTTTTTCTATCCCTCTCTCACCATGTCGCTGCTTTAGACCGGCAGATGGAAAACAGAAGCAACACGAGCGAAGGTCGCTCCTTCAAGCAGCAACCAATTCCAGGTTTGATTTTTTTTTTTCAAATCGTCGCCTCTGAATTCGATTGCTATGGAGGTCATTTATGAAATTTATTTTCTTTCTTCACTTCTGCTTCTAGGAAAAAACACATATCTATAATCGTTTCAACATTTCTAGGATGTCGTCTTCATGGGTCCATCTAAAGTGAAGGGCTCTTTTATACCAAACCATTTGGACTGATGTGTAGTTTGTGATGTGAAAATGGAATTAAGGTCTAATGAAAAACTTAGAAGCTGGAGTTCTATAGTGATTTTAACAATATGTCCACCAGTTGTTTGCTAAAATGTCTCACTTGCATTGGTTTGAAAAAAAATTAACACCAGCTTGTATTTTCCGATTATACAGGAAGCTTAAAAAATGTTGCAGAAAAGGAGCCTGTCACCCACACTAGCATGGCTGGTCACCTTAATGACAGTCAGGTACAAGTCATAAACATGGCGATTTAACCATTTTTACAAAAATTATATAATTTGAATACAATTGACATTGAATTTTCCATATTCTTTGGTGAAGGATGCTGGACTTCATGCAAGAAATATAAGCACTGTATCAACGGTGGATAGTGGTGAGTTGCATTGAATTTTGAGTCATATAGAAATTTTGGAACTTCTATTTTATAATCATACAATCTTTGTTTGCTTTTCTTTTTCTTTTTCATGTAGAAATGATTGATGAAGATGGGAACCCAATCTGGAAATACAGGGTTGAAAGTTGGAAGGATAAAAAGAACAAGAAGAAAAAGAGTGTTGTTAAAGTTGCTAAAGAAGTTCAAATTCGTGTAGACCAAGAAAAGCAGGGGTAAGTACTGTACATGACATTTTAGTTCCTTTTTCCTTTTCACTTTTTTCGTAAAATCAAAATTATAATTAAAAGGTGCAACTTGACAACTTCTAATATGGTTTAATTAATGAGAACTAATAATTGCTACTTACAGGTCAACAGAGGCGAATGCAATGCAACCACTTTCACAAATAGTTCCAATTCCAAAGAGCCAAATCACACCTTATAGACTTGTGATTATAGTGGACTTTTCTTATCCTTCTTCTCGGCACACCGATTGAAGAAAGGGTAATATGTTGTAGTTTTTTATGTAGTTGTATTTGTAGGAGTGAAACAAATTTGATTTGGATAGAAACTGAAGAACCTAATGAAAACCAAAACCACATACATTCAATTGGGTTCTTCTTTTTATGTATTCTGGAAAACCAAAGTTGCATTTAATTCTTGGTTAGGCTTCAGTCGCAAAATGATCCATGATGTTATCCAGGATGTGGTTGTGAATGGCGCAAGTGTAATTTCGGCTTCAGTTTAAAATATACTAGACAACAAACATTAACGTGTCTATAAAGTCACAACAAAAATCGAGAAGAAGATACAATAAAGGTATAACTTTTACCAAATATATAATTAAATTAATCCTATTTTGCTTAAATTTATTCTAATCTCATGCTTGCAGTAGAGTTGATGAAAGCTGATAGCACTGTAATTCTGCATAATTGGATGCTCCAAGTTTCATAGCTGTGATGCAACTTTATTTGGAGATTGTAGGATTGCAGTTTACCTTCCGATAAATAAATGACAAATGACTACTGTTAGTGATGGTTTAATCCAAATCTAACCCCCCCCCCCCCCCCCCCTCTTTTCTAGTATATATTAAATCTAAAGGAAGTTAGAAACAGTAACTTTTATGTCTTTAGGTTTTTGCCACAAATGTTTAGTGAGTTTGACATTTTAAGTCTTTAAAGTCAAAACTTTTATATTTTATGTTTTGATTAAGTTTTTTTGCTTTTAGGGTTTTGCCACAAATCTTTAGTAACTTTGACATTTTTTATCCTTGCAGTGGAAAGTTTTATATTTTGGTGTTTTTGCCACAAATCTTTAAAGAATTTGACATTTTTCGTCCTTATAGTCAAAACTTTTACATTTTTACATAAAAAACACAAAAAATCTTCTTTAGAAATTTGTCACCATATTTTTCCCAACTTTGGCAACTTTCACATTATTGCCACAATATTTATGGATATTTCTACCGGTGTCCCTTCTTTTGGTTGTTGTACACTTTTGACATCTAATTTTAGGGTTGTCGATTTTCTCTCTTATTTGTGGTAATTTAAACTTTCAGCATATATTTTTTAAAGTTACCCAAAAGCGGTGTAGCCGCGAGTTCTTTGCTAGTTTTTATAAATGCTATAAATTATGATGATTTATATTTTAAAATCTAATATCAGCATATAACTTTGCCGATTGATAAAGAAAAAAAAATGTTTTAATATTTTGATCATATATTATAATCTTATAAAATATATGATACACATTAATTAAAAGAAAAAAAAACTTATAAACTATAAAATTAATATCAATACATCAAATCCAATCACTCATCGTCGTTTCATATCGTGTTCATCTATGTCTTATAATATGCCATTCTTATCAATAGCCCACATCAAAGATCACAAAAGCTTAGACTAGTAACTATCAAAAGATCGTAACAAAGATGTATATGTACCTGGCTAGGACTACCCTAGATGTAATAGCGGATTTCTTGTTTGTTGATAGGACATATGGGAAACATTATACTTGTATTGCTAACGTGCGCTTGGAGTGTAACTTTCTATTTTGAGGCTTTAATTAACCTTCCATCTTTAAATCTAACAACTTACATTTTTGGGATTTAATAAATGTATATATCATAAATACACGATTTACAACCCTTTTCTCCATCTAAAATCAACAACAACCAACACTTCCAAGAAAAATATACAACAAAAAAAGACAATACCCCTTTGGCCTTTGATACACCAGCACGTTGTTGCTGTTAACATCAACGTATCTGATACGTAAATACATACAAGTATGTATACAGTGCAAGTACAGGTACAATGTGTCTGATTTTATATCAGACGCACTGTACTTGTACAAGTTTATATCAACCCATAACAAGTTCCCGATGACGATTGAGATCATTGAGATACGTTGTAGAAGTATAACCCTCCAAATCACAAGCATCTAAAATCATTGCTCTCCCATCAAATGTCTTTTGTCTCAAATCCATGATTGTGGAATCCCCTTTTAGTATTTGAACAACTCGTTTCATGTTCGGGCGTTTTTCAGGCATGTGATGAATACATGATGAAGCAAGCAAAATTATACGCTTTACTTCGATAAGTTCATACGAATTTTCTAATCGAGGATCGATTAGTCCTATTATGCTACCTTTCTCCAATAGCGGTTTCGCCTACAAAAGACTGTATATAAGTAGATATTCTCTCCTGATTTTTGTTAAAGAAATAACAATGTGTTTTAATTTATTTGTTTATTATTTTTGTATTTAACCCTTTTACATACCCAGATTACGAGACTTTGTCGACGTGAATCAACAGCACGACGACCGGAGATAAGTTCGAGCAAAAGAACACCAAAAGCAAATACATCCGTCTTTTCATGAATTACTCCGTGCATGAAATACTCGGGAGCCATATATCTAGAAAATAATTTTTTTTTAAAAATGATTTTTTGATATAAACAACCAAACAAAAAGGTAAAATTTTTAGTACCCGAAAGTGCCCTCGATTGGTGAAACAACTTGTTGAGCCCATTTTTCGGGTAGCCATTTCGCTAGACCAAAATCTGATATCTGCTCAAATATCGATAAACTATACATGAGTGTTTCTTTTTTAAAATTAATAGACTTAGTCGGAATATTATGAGTGTTTATTTCTGATCCAAGAAAGAATGACTTTTCGGGGTTGTTTCTTTTTTCCCCATTACGTCGTGTATAGGTAAAGTGGCTGAATGGATAATATCATAATGATGTGTTATTGATAAAGTGTGTTATGGACCAAATAAACCGTCTAAACGAGACTAAATGACCATTTTACCCTTACATTCCAAAAAACAAATTTCACACTATTCATTAATTAACATGAGAGAAATTATGAGGAAGAAAGATTCATATATAGTTGTACACATTAAGTGCTTAACCCATTATTGCTATTAAGTCACAAAGAGAAAGAATCGTATCTCTATTAAGTCCTAAATTTTTACAAATTTTCCCTAGTTTGTTTTTTCCCTCCATTTGCCTAAGTGTGTGTCATTTTCGCAAATATTTTTTAAAAATCATTTATCCGGACACATGAACTGAAGTTTCAAGGATTTATCAAAGTAGTGAAATAAAGAAATTAACCTGAGGTTGATAATCTTCGGTTAATAAAATATTTGAAGCTGTGATATCGCGATGAATTATACGTTTGTTACAGTCATAATGAAGATACTGTAAACCTTCCGCAATCCCAATCGCTATCTTAAACCTTATCTTCCAATCTACATTCTCTTCATTACCTAAAAATTAAAAATTATGTAAGCTGTATATGAGTGTTTCTTTTTTCACTTAATCTAAATACAGAAAGTCGGGAAATGAGATTTACCATGTAGTAAAGTTGCAAGGCTACCGTGAGGGGCGAATTGAAGGACAAGGTGCAAATCATTATCAGAACTGAAACCGATTAACCTAGCGGCGTTTGGGTGGTTGATATGTGCAATGATCCCAAGTTCGGTTAAAAAATCCCCAACTCTATCGTCGTCTTTTTTCTCTTTTTTTGTTATTTTTTTTACGGCTACAATTTGACCATCGGGTAAATAGCCTTTGTATACTTCTGCGTGCCCGCCTTTTCCGAGTAAATTGTCTGCACCAAGCATTTTAATCGGAACATGACAAAACAGAACAGTCTTGTACTATATTTGGTATGTATTAAATTAAGGATCTGACTGTCAATGGTCCCACTTAAAAAAGTGAATGGGACAGAGAGTCGCTATCAATATCTTAGATAAGGGAGGTTGTAAGGAAGAAAAGAATGACCTTATTTTTCGAAAATAGTCTAACCCAAGTTGTACTGTGTTTGGCATACACTGTATTTTTTTTTTTTAAATCCGGTGTTAAAAAACGTAAACACGGAGGGAGATGGACTCGCTATCATGTTCTCGTCTGTGTAAAAGACCAAAATAGCCCTAAACCATGTCAATAAGATAAAAAAAAAGTAGTTGTACTTTGTTTGACATACTCTGGATTTTAAAAAAACTGTCCCACCTGTAAAGGAGGGACATGGATTCGCTATCGCATTCGTAAAAGACCAAAATAGCCCTAAACCATGTAAATAAGATAACAAAAAATTTAATTTTTTTGTCGAACCTAAAAACGTTAAACAAGGTGGGACAAGGACTCACACTCGCTATCCTTATCTTGTACGTGGAAAAGACGAAAATGCCTTTGTTGTGGAAATAGCTTTAGAAAATTTATCCGGTGTAATTTAGTCGAGGCGGGTGTGAAAGGGGCAGTAGTATGAAGGACTGTTTTTGTTGTTGTGTGTAAGTTTAGGGACTTAGATGTAAGTTTATTATATTGTTGGAAGATGATTAATGGAACATGATCACATGGTGGATCTAGGGTATGTAGTACATTTATGTGATGAGATTGAAGATGATTAATGAAAAGAACATGTGGGGGTTTTGGAGTATTCTGGTTAGAGAAGATGTCTCCATAAGTCAAGTCCAATTGAAGTACATTTTTTTACCAATAAATAACTCACTCTTTTGTGTGCTTTTGTACTCTCTTATTGGTCCAGGTGCACTGCCTTGTATGCCATGAGCTATTTAATTTTCTTTGTCTTTTTGTAATTATAGAATTTAATAATTAATCCAATAATTTTTATAATATGGTTCAAGCACAAGGTGTCGGGCCTCAGGTTTTGCCTAAAACCTAAACCTGGTTTTTGTGTAAAAAACTAAAAATAGCAATCACATATATTCCGACATAAAAAATCGTTACATTTTACACAATCAACAGTAAATAACTATATTTTAAATTCTTATAGATACAAAAAGTGAAAAACCCATCTTTCAAATTTTTTAGTTTTGGGTTTGTTTTAGTTTAAAAAATATATATCTTTGCCTGAATAGGATAAGATAAGTAGTTATTATTATTGAGTAAAAGGGAAATTGCAACTAGTTTGTGAGTGAAGTAGACACTGCACCTAGATTTGATTACAACATATGCTCTTACACTGGTTCAACTGTCAGAGGTTTCTTTTGTCCTACCAAATTTATTGGGTTTTTTTTTTTTTTAATAATACAAACTACAAAGTTGTTATAATAAAAGGATGTAAGATAAATTTGTAAAAGAAAAAACTTGTATATGAAAATTTGTATAAGTTAGAAAATAGAATGTACTTAAAATATTTTTTTGGAATAAAATAATATGTAATGGATTAGAGATAAATCACCTTTTACATATTTTTTTATGCAAAAATGCTCCTTCTAACCGGTTACATGAAAAAATAAATTATAATATTCTTAAAGCAAAAAATAACACTCACGCTTAAATTAGAACCTTACGTACAATTTTTATGTATGTACAACTATTATAAAGACGTGTGTTAAATTGGCAATCTAAAAATAGGAATAATCCTAATGTGGTTTGCAAGTAAATGAAAGTGACTTTCATGATTATATTAAAAGTTTTTGTTTTTTTTTTGCTATATCTCATGTTACTTAGAATAGCTTTTAAAGGAGTTGAAAATTTATATTTAAAACATCTACAAACTCTAGACAATTTATGGTAAATTAAGAAAGTCAAAGTCATTTAAACAAGTCTTTTCCTCAGTTCATAAATAATATACTTTTTTCAACAGAAAAATGGTAATAACAGTAAAAACAAAACACAAATATTGATTGATATATGTTGCTAAAAGTTAATATTGTCATAATAGGCGTGCCTTTGAGGATAAGAAGTCTAGTTCATTTTCCATTATAGTAAATTTGACCAATATTATTTTAATGTTTTTTTTTAAAGTTACATGTTAGACACATTAATTATCTAATTCTATAATCGTTGTTCAAGTTTAATTAACTTGTTGGCATAAAAATTCAAGAGGAAAAGAGTAAGAAAGTGTTACCATGGCTGAAACCATTTGTAGCCGACTCAAGTTCTTCATAAGTGAAACTCCGCCATGAAGGTTTAGGCATATAAAACTCGTTAATGGTCGCCTCCGAGCTATTATTCCTCCCAAATTTCTTCATGAAGCTCTTCCTTGAATGTTCATATCCAGCCACCAACGGCCCAGTCGAAAACCTTCTGAACGATTTCCACTTCAAATTATCCATCATATTCCTCCATGGCACCGTCTCAGCCGTTGGCGACGCCGGAACGCTGGTGCTGTTGTTTTCCCTATCTCCATCTCCGTCGCATCCTCCCGTCGTCGCCACTGCCGGAGGTTTCTTATCAAATTTCAAGCTGCAGCTGCTCGCGCTAGCACTCATGCTCCTTCTTAGGTTGATACTGTTATCGGAATCAGAACCGGATCCAGGAACTTCAAACACGCCTCTTGGAGACGATTGATCGTCGCTTTCACTACCACGATCGCGTTTGTTTTTCAAGCTTTCATCCGATTTCTTTTCTAGGTTTTTATGAGGTTTCTTCGAGCTTTCTCCCTTCATTAAACTCTTCGGCATTTTCCGTGAACCTAGAGCACAACGGAAACCCGAATGAGATAAAATCGTAAATAAATGACGACAAATTTTCAAAATCGGAGAGCAATTACCTTTCATTTCGATGCGATTGAGCTTAAATTGATAGGACAGGCTCAGTTCCAACAACACTTGGGGAGTTTTTCTCGCATTTAAACCATGTCCATAATCAATGACGTGCGCGGTCGTTCCACGGTGGGAGACGACGGTGACAGTGACGGAGAAAGTGAGACGGTGGCGGAGAAAGAATGGACGAAAATCGAATGGTTCAGAGAGAGAAGGGGGGAGAAATAGTATGGCGTTGAGAGGCAGATATTATTTGAAGGAAGAGTATGAGGAGGGAAGATTGGAAGAAGAATGCTCTGCCTTCGAATTTTATACACCGTTTCCTTTTTATTTTTCATTTTTCTGTAACAATAATTAAATATATTTCTAATCAATTTTTATTAAGATCAATAATTTTTTTACTAATAGAAATAAAATTAAAATGTTTGTTTTCTATTTTTAATTATAACTAGTAGAAGTTACATAACGCATTAAGTCACACAACTTCTTTATAATTCGTAGGACTAATATTATAAAAGCCCTAAATTTTTAACCCGTAATTGAAAAAAGTCTTAATATTTTTTTATTATTGTTATGACCACAACTTTCTCGTAGAATTATCACTCTAGCCCATTTAATGAGTTTCATGGTTAACTTGATAAATTTTTTGCAAAATCAGTCCAAAAGTTCAAATTTGGTCCCTGAGGTTTGCAAAAAATTACACCACATGATGTTTTAACTTTATTTTTTGTTTTTTTATATTTTATTTATTTTCGGTTTTTTTATAAATGTATATACATTTTTTATTTTCGTTTTTGTATATACTTTATTTATTTTCATTTTTTAACTTTATTTTTCATCAATTTGATTTATTTTTTACCTTTTTACCTTTTTTTTCTATTTTATAGTGTATATATAAAGTATATTAAAGTTTTTTTTAGTTTTTTTTTTCATATTTCTTTTCGTATTATATTTTAATTTTTTCATCTTATTTTATTTTATTTTTTTCTTATTTGTTTTCCAATTATTTGTTTTTATTTTTTTGTATTTTTAACTTTTTATTGACCTTTATCAAAAAATATAAATTGTATTAGTATATTATATTATATTACAATTTATATAATTTATAGTTTTTGTAATTTTTTTTATTTTTATTCAAGTAAATAAATTTGTTATGTTTATATTTGTAATTTCAGTCCAACTTATTTTCTTTTTACTTTTTTTTCTTTAGCACTATTATATTTATGTTACGAAAAAATAAAAATTAAAAAAAAAGTTAGCTTGTTTATTCTTAGTGTTTCAATGTGTTATATAACTTGGAAATTAAATCATATTTTTATATGTGATATCAATAGTTTAAATTCAAGATAATATTTTTAATTTGATAATAGACTAAAAGAAAATAATAATAATAATAATAATAATAATAATAATAATAATAATAATCGGTCTCTATAAAAAACTTCTTACAGTAATTTATATTAAATTCGAGTTCGTTTACTTGAATCAAAATAAATAAAAACATTAGAAAAACCATAAATAACTAAGATAGAAAAAAATAGAAAACAAAAGGAATAAAAGGTAAAAAAAATCAAATTGTTGAAAAATAAAGTTAAAAAATGAAAATAAATAAAGTATATAAAAAAGAAAATAAAAAATGTATATATATTTATAAAAAACCGAAAATAAATAAAGTATACAAAAAATGAAAAATAAAGTTAAAAACCATGTCGTGTAATTTTTGCAAACCTCAGGGACTAAATTTGAACTTTTTAGGACTGCAAAAAATTTAACCAAGTTAACCATGAAACTTGTTAAGTGGGCTAGAGTAATAATCCTGCGAGAAAGTTGTGGCCACAACAATAAAAAAATATTAGGGCTTTTTCCAATTACGCGTTAAAAATTTAGGACTTTTATAATATTAGTCCTAACTCGTATATAGAATGTGATTTTTAAATGTCAATGGTCCATATATAGAACAGTAACAATTATACCAAATGAAGTGAACCAAAAATATCAAAATAAAGTTTAAAAATGTATTTATTTTATGCAACACCATAGAAATTGTAACATCCGGGATTTCGGGGATGTCAGTTTGTGTTTCAATTTGGAGGATTTAGGAGGGACTCGACGAGTCGAGAGTCTGACTCGCCGAGTCACGTCGAGTTGATTGCGGATATTTAATGAAAGGACTCGACGAGTCCAAGTATGGACTCGCCGAGTAGGTACTGGGCAGAGAAAACCCTAAGTTCCGGGGTTGGAGCCTATTTAAAGGAACTTATGACCTTGGATGCGCCTCATATCTTCGCATCTCTTCGCATGGGACTGCTGTAGGAGGTATGAATCTATACTCATTCTCGTGTATTTGGTGGTTTTCTTGAATCTAGGGTTTTCTTATTCCTTCTTTAGCTTGGATTCGAAGCTTATGAGGTCCCAAGGTGGAATATGTCTTAGATCTGGACCTTAAGAGGTCCAGAGAGTCCCAACCATTCTGCTTTATGCTGTTCCATTGGAGATATGGATCTAGGTTGCCATTTTAGGAGCTATTTCTTCATATAAGGGCATAAGAGTGTTGCATGAGCTTAAAGTTTGAACCTTTATGTGATTTTTGGGTGTAAGAAGGTCAGATCTATAAGTTAGAGAAACAGATCTGACCTCAGAAGGTCATTTGAGTGATGTCATGGAGGGAACTCGCCGAATCCATATGGGGACTCGACGAGTCGAGTCGGGTTGCCCCGCGATTCGTGACCAGTGGTAACCCGTCGAGTGAAAGGTTAACTCGACGAGTCGAGTGAGACCTTAGGAGGATTCAGAGGACAAGCATGGACTCGTCGAGTCACCTGAGTGCACTCGACGAGTCTGGTCAAAGTTGACTGTTGACTAGAGTTGACTTCAGTTGACCATGGGGTCTTGGTCAAGCTGATTCAAGAGAGGTCAGGGAGAGGTAGACTGGTCTTCTACCCATTATTAGAGATGAGAACAAGAGAAAGTATTAATTGTTTCCCTTATTTGTTAGGCGGAGGCTCGATCGAGGTTAGCAAGCCAGAAGGTTTGCTAGACATCATGGGAGGTGAGTCTTCTCACTATATTGTACCTGCAAGGGTACCTATGTGCGACCGGAAGGTCTTATATGCTATGAGATGTATGAGCTGTATGTTATTATGTGATATGTATGTGTTATGTATGTTATGTATGATAAGGACCGGAAGGTCAAGATGACAAGGACCGGAAGGTCAGGAGGTTACGGACCGGAAGGTCGATACGGGTAGGACCGGAAGGTCTACCGGGATTCGGGACGGAAGTCCCCTGAGAAACTTGGATCGGAAGATCCCACAGAGTTATGGCCTGGAAAGGCGTAGGTGTTGTATGTGGTATTTGGGGAACTCACTAAGCATTTATGCTTACAGTTATTGTGTTATGTGTTTCAGGTACTAGCGAGGATCGAGGGAAGGCGCCGACATGGTCTGTACACACTGATGAAGATTTATGTACTTGAGATTCTGGGGTTGTTCAT